TTTTGCCCTTTTTGACCAGAGAAAATGCAGGTTTCATTCTTTTTTTTATACCAACTAAAATTTGTAAAAGATATTTGTAAATATTGTAAAACATAAAATACTTTTTTCTACTATCAGGGTGAATGAACTCCAATAGTAATGTTTCCTTATTCATGAAATGATACTATTAGGCTACCTGTATGTTTTCATTGCTATGTATGCTCTTTTTAATTTCTGTTGCCTCATAGTGCCATTGATTGTTGATACTAACAATTACATATTAAGGGAAAGTGACTTTTTTATATGTGTGTGTTCTTTATTTCAGCTACCCACACTAATCAAAGGCACCTCAGATGATGAAGTTCCATGCCCAGGTTATCTGCTTGAAGAGATTGCCAGTATCCTTTGATCTTTAGAACAGTTGGATGATCTGTATGTGATCTATTCATGAAATAATTTTAGTTATGCAGTACTCACTTTCGTTAATAGCAAAAATGTGTGGCTATAACAAAGTCTAATACATCTAAAGTTCTGGAATCTTGCAACAGATTGGGAGACCAGCTGCTACATTTTTTCAGTTGCATCCTCCCATCTCCTTAATTCCATACCTACATACTGAAAACCCATTGTATTAAAAAAAAAATCTTATTCTAGCAATACAAGAAATGTAGGACTTGAAAGCCGATCAGCACAAAAGTTTGAGTTATCCTTGTCTATCAATTCCTTTACTTTGCTAACTCTTTAACATAAACTTCCAGAGATCTCCCATGAATCAACAGGAAGCAGTCACTGTCTCCTTGAATACCTCCTCAATCGTCTTCAGAGCAACTCATGTCATATCAAGCTAAAGGTAAAAAAAAAAGTGATTTTAAAGAATGTGGCCAAAACTAGAGTTGGTCTTTGGAGTAGGCATCCTTAACTTTGAAACAAAAACAAAGATTTATACTTTTAAATCTATTTTCACAATCCCAACTTAGCTTCTGCATTCTTAGGTGCTTAAGATCCTGCTCTATATGTGTACCCATGGCTCGTCACCTTTCCTTCTGCAGCTTAAGAGGAATTCTTCATTCATTCAGGAAGCCATAGGTAGGTCAGAGATTCCAACAAGAATAACTATCTTCCTAATAATAGTTATATAATGTTCATTCAGCACCTATGTGATCTCTTTTACACAAATTGATGAAAACAGCAGCAGATTTAATGTTATTGTCATACATTACAGCTGATACTAAGAGAAGATAGGTTTGCCTAAGGCTAATTAGTAAGTTTGGGTCAGAAAATAGCTCAAATGCAAACTATTAGTTATATAACCATCAGGGAATAGGCCCCACTGATCTCCTGGGTTAGGGATATATGGAAAAATATCCCTTGACACTACACTAGAAGCAAATGGGAGAAAACAATTTTCCCTTCTCCAGATTTTGTCATCAGTAGTCCATGAGGAGAACATAGCTGTCATTGTACTATCAGTTCTAAAGTATCTTTCCCTGCCAAGAAGACGGCTCCAATAAAACAAACATTTTAATTTATTTTTTCAAATAAGTTGAAGGTGTTGCTCCTAGTGGACAACTCTGACTATAGATATCTCTTGTGCTCACTTTATTTTCTATGGCATAGGGAAGAGGGAGGTGGAGATGAATTGGAAACTATTGCCAATATTGTAGTTTCTGCGCATATTTGCCTGCATAAAACCTCATTGATTATTCTGCATCAATATGAAAGTCACAAGTGATCTTTATTACATAACTCTTTGTGATTGTGGAACTTAGGAGCTATGGTGGCACAGTGGATAGAATGCAGTATTGTGGGTTAACTCTACACACGATCAGGAGTTTGAGCCTGATTGGCTCACGATTGACTCAACCTTCCATTCTTCAGTAAAATAAGGACCCAGATTGTTGGGGGCAATGTGCTGACATTGTAAACCACCTAAAGCATTATGAAGTGGTAGATAAGTCCAAGTGCTATTGCTATTACTTTCTCTGTTGGGGACATGTTTTGTACTAGGATTGTTGATATGGAACTTGTTGCATAGGATGTTTTTCATTGCTGCAAAACAGGCTCAGCTGCTTTGGCTGATTCTGTTTTTAGCAGTCTATAAAGAGTGAAACCTATGCAAAGCACACATGCATTCTGCTCTTTTGCTGCCTCACCATCTCTCTCCTCTACCTTGTAGGATTCACAGGGCCTCCTGATCCTCTCCATGGCAACAGCTTGCATCAGAAGGTGCGGATGACTGCACAGGTGAGTTACAAGACCCAGTCATGAAATTTTGATGCTCTCAAAGCCTACTGTGTAGAAGGGCTTTCTGTATGACCGTTCATCACATTGCCCTTTGCTTGCCTCTCCTTGTAGGACCTGGCAGGCACTTTATTTTCAGATGTGCTGTTGCCTCAATGTGTTACTCAGCCATCTAAAGAGCTGCCTTCATCAGGTAAACCAATACTGCCAAGATAAGACCCTAGTGCCTGTGTAGTTCCCCTGTATTACCTTTTTCAGTTTAAAATATGTAATTTTATTTTCCTTTTCCTCATTTTTCCTCTTTTCCTTCCATGCTAAGGTGAGCATGACTTCCTGGCCCTCAATAACAGAGGGAAGAGAATACTACCTTTGAGAATGATACTGTCCAATTACTTCTGGTTTGGGGGTGTTGAACCATCTATTTTGCCTTTTTCAAATATTCCGGAATTAAGCCTGGCATTAAAGCTATAGCAGAATTATAACTCTAGGCCCAATTATTGTGGCCAGGTGGGAATAATTTCACTGTGAAGCTGCTTGCAGCAAAGCTTCAGCTGAATAGAAGGAACAACTGTTGAGAGTAAGAATGGATATGCTCCTTCCATTTCCATGCAGCCTTTGTTGTTAGGATGAGAGAAGTAAAATTTATTCTGTTTCTGTGCCTCTCTTTAGCCAGGAAGTAAGTCAGTTGCTACTATAACCTCAGCCTGACATTGGAAGAACTCGGCCTCGTGGTTTCAGGCAATTTGTCTTCAGATCCAATAATCTGCTAACAACAATTCATTTGCATACCTACAATCTGGTGGTATATTTTCTGAGAAGAAGCAGTTCTCAAAATACCCGAGCTTTCTTATCTCAGTAGCAGTTTTTGACCATTTCTTTATTTGAATGAATAGAATGTGAATGGAGAGATAGTTTGCAGATTATTGGATAAGGTGCTGGCCTAGAAACGAGGAGAGTGTGAGTTCTAGTCCTACCTAAGGCAGGAAAGGTAGCTGGATGACTTTGGGGCCAGTTCCTCTCTCTCTAGGCCCAACCCAGTTTACAGGGTTGTTGTGAGGGAAATAAAAGGAGGAAGGAATATTAGATATGTCCACTGTCTTGTTTATAAAAATAGTTCACATCTTTGCAAGATGTGAAGTTTGTACAAACAAAATAAAAAGTTTTTTTAAAAAAAGAAATGAGATTTTAATTTTTTTTAAAAAAAATGACAGTAGGATAAAAATAATTGCTGATAGTCATTTTCACCTGATGCTGATNTTTTAAAAAAGCGGGCGGGATGCAGGAAAATGCATCAAAAAGCGGGGGTGTCACGCCAAAAGCGTTATGTCTGGTCACCTTAATTTAATGGCTGTCTCTATGTCTTTGTCAACATAGCAGCTGGCTAGCAGTGTTTGAGAAAATGAATGCTGGTTACAGTAATTAAGATTTGATTCTCACATTCATTCAAACAATAAAGAACAAATCAGTCTGGGCTGGAATTCTTAAAGGTTAAATTCCTCAAGCATGAAAACCCCAAACCAATTAAATGAGTCTTTTAAAAACTTGTTCGCTCCTGAAGTATTGATTTAGCAATCCCAGGTACCCATCAAGAAGAATTGCTTGGGAATTTGGGGCACTGCAATCCCATCAATTTGAACATGATGGTTTAATTGAAGCTAGTTAGGCAATTAACAAGGCCTTCTTAAAGACACTACATTGTTCAGAGATGCTGAAAGTGGGGAGAATGAACAGGAGTTATCCTAATAATTGTGTGGATATTACAAGCATCCTTGGGGATGCTTAAGGTCCCCTCTGCATTCCTCACTGAACCCCTTCCTCAAGCCCTGCTCACTTTTGAATGTGGTCTTATATCTCAGCTATGCCCCCGCATTTCAAGTCATTTACTATTCACGATCACCATTGTTGCTAGGCTAGGCAGCCAGTCAAAATTAGTTTTAAAAGGCACTATTAATCCAAAGACAAGTATGGGAAATTTAGAAAGGATATGGTTCCTGAAGACAATATTACACCTGACCCAGCCTGTAATAAATGAAAACAACACAGATAAATCATGTTGAGCCATAGCTTATGGAACTAGCACATTTCATTGAGTTCATACAATACCCTACTTTGCCAGTGACAGTGGTGGTGTTTGTAAAATGTGTCATATCTTATCCTACAAAATGTGTTTAAAATGAAATATTTGTACATTGGTTAGTTATGAGTGGAATTCTGTTGAGAGAATGAAACTTTGGTTTTCAGAATTGTCCAGGTAATGCTTCAAAATTCACTTTTCTGAAATCCTGAGTGGAGCAAAGAAAAGAAAATCTCATACATTGATAAATATATTAGTCTCATGGTAATCAATGATTTTAAAGATATTAAGATTTTTTTAAGAGAAGCAAATGGAGAGTCAGTTTAATCTAGTGGTTAAGACACCAGGCTAGAAACCAGGAGACTGTGAGTTCTAGTCCCGCTTTAGCCATGAAAGCCAGCTGGGTGCGCCGGTAAGGGTCCTCAACCCAACTTACTTCATAAAGTTGTTATTGCGAGGAAAACAGGAGGAGGAAGGAGTATTAAGCACAAGTGACACCTTGACTTATTTGTAAAAATAAGAAAGGTGGGTACACATGAAATGAAATGTAAAATAAGGAAACTAATTGGGAATTATTGTGAGAAAATCTGTAGAAAACGAAGAACCTGGTAACTGGGAGAATCTGTGATGAGGCATTTCATAGTAATGATGAGCATTTTGACTGTGTTGCAAGATCAAGTGCCTGTTTTCAAGTGTCTCAGGTGTAACCATCCTTGCCAGGAGCAGCAGATGGGCAGGCAAAACATTGAGACAAAATGACAGGTCTCCCTGGGATATTTTGCTTTCATTCTCTCTTGAGTCTGACTACTCCATCTGCATTTGTTTAGCAAACCAGGCATCCTTATTCCAGTTAATGACCTGTAATCGAAACAAGCACCAAGGGAACGGATGGCAGTGCTGGTATATGGTGGCTGCTTTATTCCTTGACCTTAATTCATTTCTCCTAGTCTACCAGAAGAATAATGGAAAGACTTTAAGACAAAAAAAAACCCACCCCCAAACCTGGCTGTCTAAGTGATGACACTCCCACATCAATCCTCAAAATGCACCCGTGCTTTGCTCCTGCTGTTAAATGCATATCCAGCCAGAGTGCAAAGTTTTCAAGGAACGTAAATCAAAAGCAATCGCAGCTGAAAATATAACATAACTGCTATTCTTGGATGGAGTTTTCCAATAGAAAACCTCAGAGCTTTGCTTGATGGATTTTGTCGACAAGTAGATTGCTGTACAGGATTCTCAAAGAGTCCCAAAGATAGGGAAGATCATGGTTGGTGGGCAGCCTCTAATCATCTGAAATCATACTCAAGGTTCCAAGGTAATTATCCCATTGATTTGCAAATATTGCTAAAGTGGCATTATTTGATTGGACCTTTGTTGCACCAATTCAATGACTGCACTTTGGAAAAAGATGCCCTTTTAAGCATTAAAATATTATCTTCATATTTGGCTTTCAGGTCTGTTCAGTTCCCTTGGGATTTTTTAAAAAATTCTACTTTTTTCCTCTTCTAGATTTATTTTCAGCCCGTGGACCAGAGGTGGGTTGCTGCGGGTTAGGCCCAGATCAGGCGAACCGGTAGAAGTGGTGGCTGGAGGCGCCACCCACCAGTCCAGATGATTCTGCGCATACGCAGAAGTGTCGCACGTGCAGGAGCATGGCTGAACCAGTAGTAAAAAAATTAGCAACCCACCTCTGCCATGGACTGATTAAAGAAATAAATTACAGTTAGATTTAAAGGTGGCTTGTGTTTTCCTTAGGCTTCAGATGTTTAGTCCCCTGCACCAATTTTAGTTACAAACTATCTAGTCTCAGTCTGAAAACCTTTCCTGTCCCAATCTTCTTCGCTTAGGAAAAGCAACAGCTGCATTTTAAATTGTGTAGCTTAGCAGCTCAGATTTCTGACAGTTTTTCTCCCTTCTTCTCATAAGATGCTTTATAACTTGTGTTTTAAGCCAATTGCAGATAAAATATTTTCATTCTAATGCCAAGTGCAGTATTCTTGCAGATATCATACAAAGGCATCTACATATTCTTGTCCAGCTGTCTAAAGAAAGAAACTTATCTCCCTGATTTTAGGGAACAGCTCCAGCATATCAGTTAGTTAATTATTTTGGAAAACTCTCTGTGTTCAAAAATGTAGAAGAAGCAACGAGTTGTAAAATGGGTCAAAACTAAGGTGACCAGATTTTCAGATTGGAAAAGAGGGACACCCTTGATGGGGGGGGGGGG